TTAAAAGGAATCCTGAAATTGTCAAGTATTGTCCAACTGCCGACTGCGGTATGGTGTACCGTGTCTCAACGGAAGGAAGACGCTTCACTTGCTGTGCATGTCAGGCCGAGATCTGCACGTCTTGCCAGGTGCAGTGGCACAACGGGCTCACTTGTGCCATGTTTAAATCAGGAAAGCAGGTGGAGGGACGTCTGGAAGAATGGATGATGAAGGACCCAAGCAGTAGGAAGACCTGTCCCATATGTAAGATGCCAGTTCAAAAGAATGAGGGTTGCTATCACATGACATGCTCTGGGTGTAAATCGCGCATGTGTGTGCGGTGCCTGGAGGTGTTTCCTACAGCAAAAGGGGTATACAATCATCAACGGCACTGTCAGAAAAAGTTAACAGCGTGATCCGATTCCTTCTCAGTAAAGAAAGAGTATTTCCACTCCTACGACCTGTACGACAGATGGCACTTAGTGCTCTACCTAGATGTTGGTAGCTGGGTAGTTGACTTTTCTGATTCAAGTTAACACTGGTTTCATCCCAGCAGTCGTTTACAATTGGAGTTGTGTTTAAGTTTTCCTAGCGGTTTTGTGCTGTGCCCATTTTCGAGGAGATTGATAATTGAAAAAACTCGGAAATAAAATCATAAAATGCAATGCTAATTACAAACCGCTACCTAGGGGATAGGGGAACTTCAGTCACCATGACGGATGGAACGAGTGCTAGTGTAGACTGGGCCTAAACTGTGACTTACCGTGGACAAAGCGTTGTCTTGTAGCTTAACGAAACTTCCCACTTTGTTTGAATTTTCTTGTGTTAAGGGAGTTAATTACTTTTCAGATAGGTGCTTCCATGCTTCAAAAAGACTTCGGATAAGAAAATATTAATTTCTCTGATACCACCGTACAGCCTCGTTGGTCTGAACCTATGGAAACAACACTGTAAACTGACTCAGGCCGGCCGGGTTGACCTGAGGTTGACACCGAGATTTTTGCTAAACTAAAATCCGGCCGTGGTCATGTCAACAGTTATTTAGCGTGCGCAATAGGCCAAGTTCGATATATTAAAGTTATATTTAAATTAAAGTTGGCGTTGAGCTTGAACACATCGAGGTTGAGGGATGAATTACTAAATTTTCTTCTGTAAGTTCCGTAAGCCCAGTCATCATGGTAGAATTTTAATTTTTCAAAAATTAATAGCCTATTTAGAACATTTACCAACGACAATTTTTACAACATATCAACGAAATCAAGCTCCATATCAAGCTCAATATGTTACTATA